TATGAGTTAATACACCTTTGGATAAGTCCTATCTTTTGAATTTCAGTAAGAATTTGTATAGAAGGCAAAAGTTAGTAATTTTTATGATGGATGCTAATTTTCAGCAATTGAATATTTTAACTTTGTTAATGATAAAAATTAGGAAATTATAACAGTTTGTTAATTCGCACGACATTGACATAAAATCATGACAAGAACAAAAGAATAGAGGAGATTACTGAAATTTAAATTTTGAAGTTCTGTTAATTACTTTTATTATAATGCAACCGGCCAACGGACCGGGGTATAATCTAGTGATATTTAATCACTTTCTTACAGATTGTACATGGACGTTGGGTGTGCAACACACGGAGCACTTTTCAGGTTCATTTATCGTGTGTCGTGCTTGACATGATCTGTTAGTTTTCATGTCGTGCAAATTCATTTTTTAAATTTTGTTAGATCTAGATCGTGTCACGTCTGAATCGCACCATGCTTACTCGTGCTCATATCCGTGCTTAATGAGAAAGAAGAGAATAAATTGTGGGAATAAAAAAAATGAGAAAATTGAACAGAGAATGAAAGTATAGATTGATATTTTTTTATAAAAGTAACAAATAACGGGACAATGAAACGTGGAAGTATAGCAGGTGTAATTTGGTATTCGCGTGTTTTGTTTTTTAATTGTTCGATAAATTATTTTGAAGGTAGTAATTACATATAATATAATTATGATACTTCTAGCAACAATAAATAATCATATTGTAGTTACATTTTGTAAAATTTGAACTTATAATTTTTTTATAAATATTGTCTACAAAATATGTATTTTTTCTTGTCATATCATAGTTATATTCGATAGGATCTCAAAAATAGTAAGCCTGCGACACGACTACTAATTGACCGTATCGTGCCAGTGCCCATGAAGTTGATGTCCGACACGGCCCATATAATTATTCATGCTGGAATGACCCATACATTTTGTGTTTGTGCTCGTCATGTGCTCTAACGGCGTCGTTTCGTGCTAGCCGGGTGCCTAACTACAGTGAACATTTGTATATGAATCACTCTCAACAACTCGATTTATTGAAACTAATTAATTTATATATTAGAATCTTTTATAACCTTCCGAACCTAATGACCATATTTGATAAACACTTTGATATTATGATATTTGTAACTTGAATCACTTCACGCGGACTTTCTGCTGAAGCCTCTTCCCGACGGTTTGGAGGGCTGTCTTTGTCGAGAACGCCGATTGGTCGGTCTGCTTGAACTCGATTGAAAGCTCGGTCGCTTTTGAGGCAAGGATCCAATTGGAGGCCGACACCTGGACGCGCTTCGTCCTTTTTGGACTCGTGTTTATTTTAATTGCCGAAATCTGGACCAACGGAACGGCGTTACGGTGAAGGAGCCAGCCAGCCCCGTGAAGACTGATGAAAAGCACTCTGTGGGGACAGAACGGAGTATATTAAAACGGGGTTATGAATCGCAATGATGAGAGGTGTGGGGAGTGGAACGGGGAAGCGTATGAGTCACGAGCTAGCTAGCAATAGAAGAAGCAAAAAAAGTAACAGAATGGCGTGGAATAATATATGATTTAGTACCTTGACCGTGCTTAATATTTGCATTTGGACCTCTTAGTTTATGATATAGTACAGTGACAACTTGATAGATTTGGCGCTTGATCAAGGGACAATGTTGTTTGATCCATGGAGTAAGAGGAGTCTTCAGAGAGCTTGCTGGTGCTTGAATTCTGGAGGCCTTAAATTAGTTAATGATATAGTACAACAAGTTGGTAGATTTAGCTCTTGATTATTCGAGGAAATTTTTTTGCTTAGTTAAGGAGTTATAACGAGTCATTTTTTATCTATAGAACGGGCAAGGAGAGAATCGTAGAGAGTTGGTAGCATCAATGAATTCATACTCGGGATTTTCCCAAACTGAGTCCAACTAGTATTACAAACCTAACTGGTCATATGGAGTTTCATATATAGTATGGAAGCTGATAATAATCACTAACATACATTTGACAATAGAGAAAAGAGGTCGATCTAGTCTGACACAAAATATGCTCACATTTCATTATAGAATCGAAGTCGACAATACTCGTCGTCTTGAAGAGTAGAGATGGATTGTTTTTTTTTTTTCAAGAAAATTATGGGGAGGGACTCGTCTTGAGTGAAATTCTTTCACTTCATCATCAATATGTTTTGTTTTTGGAGGATGCATAATCGCTAAGAGATTGGGTGACTCAAGATCGAGAAGTGTAATTAGGGTTGGTCTTGCACTTCCTCGAATTGGAAGAAGTGCTTATTATTCTCTATGTCGTTGTTTGAGTTCTCTTGGCTGACTTGCTTTCCAGTCTTGCAGAATTGCTAGCTGTTGATCGACGCCACTGGATTGCTCATTGCTGGTTTCAAGTTTCTCCATTCAAGAGCAAAGCTCTAGGCTAAGAGAAACCTCTACTTCAGGATCCTGAGGCACACGAGCTGATCTCAATTTACAAAAGACCTCATCCCCACGTCAGTGAAAATATTTCAACGCTAGGGTTTCTGTTACTTTAGTACTAATTAACCTGCTTATCTAGAAGAGCCAATTTTCACAAACCCCCCAAACTAATCACACTTTTCCATTGTAATGTCCCCTTGTGATTCAATCATGGCGCCCTAATAAATGAGCATCAATCTAATCGATCCAACTTTTTATGATCAGAATAGATGTAATAATGAAAAAAAAGGGGGTGAATGTTAGTGAAGGCAGATGAAATCTATAATGAGGTAAATGATTAACCTCACCCAATCTCTGTTTCACCCTCAGACAGTATATATATTTTAATTGGATGAATGGCTGGCTAGGGTAATGAGAAGCTAAGCCCAGGGCTAATGAATTACTATGGCCGGGCTACAAATGCGTTGAGAAGCTGAAATTTGACAAAGGAGCAAACTAATAATCACTGAGTATAGCAGTTGAGCACAGAGTGTTTTCGACATGCTGCGAAAGAATCGGTTGGTTTTAATAACTCGGGTTATTGTGTGAGTTTCAGTTATGAATTATATATCACTTATTACTAATACCCCTTCTCTTAAACGAGGATCACCGTATATGGACTTGAAGTTAGCACAAGTCCAAATACCATGTGCTTAACAAATGGGGTTACTGGAATATGAACATAATAATAACTCTCGGTCATAAAAGGCTCTAATAATGTCAAGAATCAGTTAGTCCCACTAACTCGATCGAGTTGTTGGAAGAAGTTCGATTATAGATCGTAGTATGACTTACTAACACATGGTGGATTAGTTGATCCAACACCATCATGTTGAATCTACCACACACACACAACAGTGAAATGGAAGAAGGGAGAATGGGTTGGGACTAGGAATGGAGTTTTTGGGTATATGGGGGGCCACCATTCCACATTCAGCTGCACAAATCAAAGTACCCCACAACCATCCAGCCATCCAACATAAAGAGGAATGATATTGAATCATGTTGATTATTGTTGGGGGCAAAAGTTGGTGCAGTTGATTTTGGCATATCTACTCTTTACCTTTTGATCAATATATGTTAAGATGGTTATTGCACCAGTTAGGATCAGCTATTATTCCGATCACTAAATAAGTAAATATATATTCACTGTGAGCCAGGGAGAGAAAACTATAAGGTTTAGTTTTAGTGGGTTCTTTTTTTAATTATTGGAATGTATTGGTTGTGTTTTTGTCTGGTTATTATTTATCAGTACTTGGGTTTTAGGGTGGTTATACGGTCCGGTTCGTTTAAATTGGCTCGAATTGATCCGGTCCTAGTCCGATCTTTTTGGGAATATAAGGACCAAAAATTGGATTGGATACAGTTCGGTTTTGATTCGGTCCGGTCTTGATTTGGTCCGGTCCCAATTTGGTCCTGATTTTAGATCGAGCCTTTGAGTGGTATAAGGTCATTGAACTTCACAAGTCGAAATGTGTACGTATATCAACCATCCATGAGCTCCGAATCATTCCCCAACTTAGGTCTTCTTCTTCATTTTTTTCGCCCTCCGAATCAATCAATCAGGAAGAAGAGTTTTGTAATATGAATCCAAATTTTCCTAATAATATGCTCTCTATACATCCCATCCCATCACATTAATCTCGATATTGTTAGTTGATTTGAACATAATACTAAATCTCTGGTAGGGTTCAAACTTTCTCAACTTTGATATTCATATAAAAAAAAAATGAAATAAAAAGGAACAAACAAAGTGGTGTAGCTTTTTGGCTGGTAGCTGTTCCATTACGTCATCACAACCAATTCCCTTCCCACCGGCCACCACCACCACATCTTCTCTTTCACAGTTTCAGACTTTTGGTGTCATTCTTTATTCTTATGCCTTTCGGGCCAAAGATAGCATTACCATAGGCTGTTCATATATAATGGCTTCTGTTCTGTGTGTGTGTATATATAAGAGTGAAGTGAAGTGAAGCTTGGTGGTGATTAGTCAGTTCCCATCTCTCTTTCTCACTCGAGTTTTTTCCTCCTTCTGGTTTATTTGCCATCGATGGTGTTATTATGATCATCAGTCTCTGCTACAGCAGCAGCTGTCACCCCCATCTCTTTGATGCAACACACCAACAACAACGGCGAAGAGAGAGAGAGATAATGGAGTTGGAATCATGATGATGATCATCAACATCCATCTCTAAGTAGTAATTGTGTTGCTTCCTTTTGTTTAATTCCCCCCTTAAAAGAGAGTCACTTTCAGCGGCGGGTGAAAGGAGGCCCGTGGCAATAACAAAGAACTTAGCTTTCCCTGCTGCAGCTAGAGCGCTTCATTCCTTGTTCTAAACTATATTCCTCCTCTTGTTTCTTGGTGGAGTTTTTTTTTTTTTTTTTTTGTTTTTGTCCACCCGTTAAGCATTGGATGATGAAACACTGACAACGAAATGTTCATCTCCACACTCCAACTTTGTTTTGCTTGTTAGGGTTTCCTAGCTAGAGCTACAGCTTGTTCTGTTCTGCTCTCTTTTTTTTCTTTTTTTTCTCCTCATTCTTGTGCTGGTTATTATCTTCTCTTCTTCTTTTGGCTTTCCGCGGCTTGGCCAACTTTTATCAGTCTTCCTCTGGGGATTTGAGCAGACAAGCCGACAGTGTAGGCAGTCGACGTGCTCGCTTGTTCTTTTTTTTCCTTCTTCCCTTTTTTTTTTCTCTCCTTTTTCCCAGAAAGCGGTTGTTTGGTTTTTTGGACGGGGTTCAATTCCCGAGGATCCAGATATATCTCATCAAAACCTACACCGGGGGGATTGTTTGTAGCCTTGGTTTTTATGTTCTTGTCTCGATCTATACCTAGAAAAAGCTTCACCGCCGACGTACGTGGGATCCATCCGGCCAGCCAGCCCCGCCTCCGGTGGTTTTCGCTGCCCGGCCGGCCGATCGGTACGTAATACTTTCTTCTTGTTATATCTCACATATGTTCTCTCTCTCTTTGGGTCGGATGTGAAGGCAGCAAGCATTATACTTTGTAAAATGACCGCGGCATAATAATTAGGGCTGCATTTAATTTTATTGGCTGTGGTTCTTCAATTTACACTTTGATTGGGTCAGCAACATTCTTACTACTGTTTCTACATCTATATTATTCCTTTCCCATCTCTTCCTTTTTCATAATATTCATAGAAATATTGTTGATGATGATGATGATAATAAAGCCATGTTTCTTTCTTTCTTTCTTTCTCTCTTTCTATGTCCATGTATAGTGGAAGACTCTCCATCACCGTAATAATAATAATTTTGGGGGGTTCATCATAAAAGTGGTTTCGGCATCATGGTACTAACATGTGACCTGTTTCATTTCCCCTCCATAAACATCAAGAAGAAAGAAGGAAAAGAATATATCAATTCCCATTTATCTTAGATTTCTCACCGGTCAACCCTAGCTACTCTAGCTATGACTTGATATCGAATTATCCGTGGTCAAGTGAAAATCACGATGTGTTGAGACTTGAGGAAGATGTTATATGAATCTTTCATTTTTTTCTCTGTAATCTGTATCGCACATAAACCACGATCACATAATAACATAAATCTCTGTACGCGTTCTTTACAAATAAAGTATTGTCGATTTCTCATACAACACTAATTATCTCTCTCCCCCCTCCTCATTCCGTCCATTTTGTTGATTACAGTTCGATGATTCCCATCCATCAATGCTAGTCATGGTTTGACCATATATTACTATATATCGGTTGTTTTGACCTTGCAGTTGAAGTAGAACGACTACAGCTGGTCAGGCAAAGAAAGCGAGATCGATCAGGATGAACACTAGTAGCAGCACGTTTTGCGCAGTCCCACCTGGGTTCCGGTTCCACCCGACGGACGAAGAGCTCGTTGACTACTACCTCAGGAAGAAAGTCAACTCCCGGAGGATCGACCTTGACGTCATCAAAGACGTCGACCTTTACAAGATCGAGCCGTGGGACCTTCAAGGTACGTTACCATATATACCACCTTCGACGGTGTCAAAAACTCCGACCATCTTTTCGGCGCCGGCCTTTCTCACGACGATAAAAACACTGCGTCTGCATGCAGAGCTGTGCAGAATAATAGGGAGCGAGGAGCAGAGCGAGTGGTATTTCTTCAGCCACAAGGACAAGAAGTACCCGACGGGGACGAGGACCAACAGGGCGACGACGGCCGGGTTCTGGAAGGCGACGGGGAGGGACAAGGCTATCTACACGAAGAACGAGCTGATCGGGATGCGGAAGACCCTCGTTTTCTACAAGGGTCGTGCTCCAAATGGCCAGAAGTCCGACTGGATCATGCACGAGTACCGCCTCGAGACCGACGAGAACGCCGCTCCCCAGGCAAGTGTGTTTATGTGTTGTTTTTTGTTTTTAACTTGTTTTAACTTCCTATGTATTATATTCCTTCCCAGGACATAAACTACTTCAATTTACTCTTCACCCAATGACAGGAACCAATGCAGTCAAAATCGCGCTTTAAAACTTAAAAACTTACGATTTTACGCTTTTAGGTCACCAAAACGCTTTCGTTTCCATATAAAAACTTAAGTGTATAAAATCGGACTAAATTGCGCTTTAAAGCTTAAAAGCTTACGGTTTTACGCTTCTAGTTCTCCAAAACGCTTTACGTTTTTACGCTTTTAGTTCATTAAATGATTATTGTTTTCTTGAAATTAATTATGAAAAGTATATTTTAAAAGTAAATCACCAACAATATGATACATTTGAGGTACTTGGATGCATATAAGGTACTTGGATGCATTCTCAACTTCGATAGAGTAATCTAATTCACCCGTTAGGCTTTTCCCAAATTCATTAGCATAGTGGGGAAAGTGGCTTATTGTTAAAATTTATGTTTACAAACTTATTATTAAGATGCTATAAATTGTTATACTTTAGGCATGAATCACATGTATTTATTGACTTATCTAAATTCTGTGCATTCATATTTTGCATAGCATATGTCCCACTTAATACATTTTTAGTTATTTTTCAGTATGCGTAAAAAACTTACGCTTTTACGCTTTGATTCTACGCTTTACGATTTTACCCCTTTTCCGCTTCTAGGTAGAATCGCGCTTTTGACTGCATTGACAGGAACAAAACAAAAAAAAAAAGAACATGGGAATTGGAATGTCACGCTGATTTGTTTAGACTGATTAACTATTGCTCTAGAAATTTAACTATGTTTTCGGACTGGGATGAGCAATGATTCGGTTTCATATACGCGGGAGTAAATATGATTGGATTTAATTTGATTTTAGTTCAAATCTAGGAAGACTTGGATCAAATTGAATTTGTATCTAACCTAATTTGCAGCAAATGTGTTTTTTTCCAAGTTTGAGCGACAATAGTTTTTCTTCTGTTTTTTCTTTTTTTGGGGGGATAATGCATTGTTCTTGTATATTTGGTCTGATCATACTCATAAGTCATATCCCAATTCGATCGGACTATAAGTTAGATTGGATCGTATTCTTCTATTATCGGATACAAATATTTATCAACAATATTAATTGATACTCGTAAGTGTGATATATATATACACAAATACACAATTAATTAATCTGGTAGAAGACTATCGCGAAGGAAGCTTTAAAACATAAGAAAATGGTTATAACGTATAACGAAGCAGTAAGACACTAACAAAATGGTAAGTAGAGATTATTAGGATTCTAATATCGGATAGAACTCAGATATCTTGTCAATAACTAAGTCCTGTTGATTCTAAGAAATCGGGTCGTCTTAATGATTTGAGTTTGTTCAGAAATTATCGCGCCAATAATCTTGTATTTTCTTTTATACACCCCCACTCCATAGTAATTGATCAATTGACTTCAAAGATTCCAACGGATCAGCATCGTTTCTGGTCATCACTAAACTCAACTCTTAAGGTTCTGTGAATATAATGCAACTTGAAGCTAATGACTGATTGATTTCCCCACAATGTAAAATCATACAGGAAGAAGGGTGGGTTGTATGTCGGGTGTTCAAGAAGAAGATCACAACAATGAGAAAGATAAGCGACCACGACTCCTCACTCTGCTGGTACGACGACCAACTCTCCTCCTTCATGCAAGACAACCTCGACTCCCCCAACTCCCTCTCCCACCAGCCTCCGCCGCCGGCGCCACCGTACCACCACGGCGGCGGCTTCCCATACACCACCACCACCACCACCAAGAAAGAGCATCTTCCCACCACCGACCTCCTCTTCCCATCCCTCCCACACGACCCCAACCAATACTTCCTCCAGCTCCCGCTCCTCCAAACCCCACCGCCGGCCACGTCATCGCCGCCGCCGTCATCCTACGGTCTAGACGTGAACACGCTGCATTCTTCACGTCAGCACCACCACCAAAGCTTGAGGTCCATCTTTGGAATCGACGGCGGCGGTGATCACCAGAAGCAGCAGCAAGATGGAGTGGTGGATTCGGTGACGGATTGGAGGGTGCTTGATAAGTTTGTAGCTTCCCAACTTAGCCATGATGATCAAGTGGGCGGCGGCGGCAGGAATGTTGATAATGCGGCGGCGCCGTCGGCGTCCAGCCCTACTACAACTACTGGGAGCAGTCAGATCGATCTGTGGAAATGAGAAGATCCGATATTATAAGATATATATTTAATTTACTACCATATTATATATCATACATGCATATATACTACGATCGATCACTGTTCATACATGGAAAATCGGGGGAGAATTGAAGTACTTAAGCCATTCTTATTGATGATCTAGAAAAGCTTCTGTGTAAATAATAAACATATCTTAAGAGACGTGTTGATCATCATAACATTAACTCTATGTTATGTTTCTTGTTATTTACTGCTAAGTTAATATTTAGTACCAGTTTGGTCTCATTTATGATCTGTTCATCAATGTTACTTCTGCATTGTAAAAAATGTGGTTTAAGTACCATACATAAATTACTCCCAACGGTTCGAGTTATTGAGACAATTTGGTTTATGACATGGAATCAGAGCTGATTTGTCTTTTGAGGCAAGAGGATTGAAATATCGTACTGTACCGGTGGTTCTGCCACAAAAAAAAAACCTCCTACAGGAGGCGAAACCAGTAAATAGTATTTAGCGATAATGAAGCGGCTGAACCATGGTTTTAGCATAAAATACCATATCGCTGACTTTGTCCGGTACAACGACCGGTACGTACGCTATTTCAATCCTTGCTGCTTTGAGGCCACTGTTCATGTTCTCAAGACCCTCATCAATATTAACTGTTGTGTTAAAGCACATGATAATGGTGAACCAGTGCAAACTTCAAACTCATGAGTTGACTTTTGATTGAGCGGACGTGTAAGAAAGTGGTTCAGTACAATACATTAATTGATCGATCTCCAACATCTCGAGTTATTAGCGCCAGTTTATTTATTATGAGATATGTAGGAGAGTGATATTGGAACGTACTACATTTGTGGCAATTATACAGTGCATGTAGAAATGACACATTCTATACAACTGTCGATGAACAGTACTGATGTACTTGAAGCTGCTGATTGGGATTTTGCGTTCATTAATGTCTGCTGCCATTTCGGTTGAAGAGAAGAAGCAGTAGTACTGTGCATAGATAGATGCTTCTGTATGGAACAATTTGCTTGATTTGGCTAAACACGAATTGATGGTGCTTTTAATGAAACAATGAACATAAGTTAGTGTTGGATTAGCAAAAAGAGGGCAGATCCATTGATCCATTTTCCATTCCTTTCCCAATGCTTTGGTTTCCTTGGAGTAGGGGGTATCATGATAGCTATAGCTAGGGAAAAGGGTGGGTTTTCATCATGATGATTTTACACTGAATACTTTGCTGGGAAGTTGTTTACACCTAAAATATTTTTGGCCTAAATTCAATGCCGTAATAATGAGTCTCGGCATTTAATTCGATATCGCATGGCCAAAACGATGTCGTTTGGAGTTGAGCAATACCGCGGAGAATTTAAGCGAGACCGCGAAGAGGCTCGGCGGTACCGCGGTACTTGAAACGACATTGGTTGCGGACCATGTGTGAGTCATGCGCAGGGCATATGTTGCTGTTGGACAAGGAATGTTTTTATTTTATTTTATTTTTTCCTTGTCGGAGGAGGAGAGTAACAGCACCGTTTGGAGTCAAACAATGCCGCGAAGAGATAAAACGGTGCCGCGAACCTCAAAGCTCGACGGCATCGCGAGACTGTGAAAACGGTACCGCAAGGAAGCTCACCGGTACCGCGACACAGAAAATGACACCGCCGGAAAATAAGATGGGGCCGCGCGTTTGGTATTGGTGTTGGAAAAGGAGTTTTGATTATTATTATTATTATTATTATTTATTATTATTATTTATTCCTTGTTGGAAGGGGAAAAGCGGTACCGCAGATCTGAAAACGATGCCGCGAGAGCCATGACAAGCGGCCCCGATTAATTAAAAGCCATATTGGGTAAGTGACCAAAATTCGCCCAGCCCAATGCGAGTGCAGACTCGCGGCGGTTCCATGAATCAATATTTTTTGGTTATGTTAGCGGTGTCGTTTAATTAAAAACGGTACCGCGAGCAAGCCCAACGGTACCGTTGTACTAGCAAACGACAGTGTTTAATAAAAAAAAAAACAAACAATGTCGCGGAAAGAAAAACAAACGGAGCTGTTTGGAGAGGAAACGACACCGCGAAGCTTGAAAACGATATCGCGCGAGGAACCAGCAATACCGCGGTGGTGGATAAAGCCGCGAGCTAAACAACATTGCGGTGGAGAGACGATGCCGCGGTCACGAGTTCGACAATGCCGCAAACTAAATACTGGGAGTTCATCGGTGTTGCAAGGGTGAGATCTCAAAGACACCGTGGTGGGTGTCAACGTCGCTGTTGCAGTTGCAATGAGGTTGTGATTTTGATAGCACCGCAACATTGTTTGGTCAATACAGTGGCGATCAGGTCAAGTTTAGATGCATTCCGAATCTAAGCTCATCGAGGCAGCATGGCATCGTGAGAGTCTACAATGTCACGGGGTTAAACGGTGTCGCGAAGCCAACACCGCCGTGGATCTCAACGGTGTCGTAAGTTCAATAACACCATGGATTAAACAGCTTCGATGAACGATGCTGGGAGTCCAATGGGGGTGTGGGGTGAAACAACAATGTTGTTTAATTGATGGCGGTGTCGTGATTCGAACCATGGTGGTACAATTGATGTGTGCACGTGACTTTTACGCAAGGAAGATTGGAGAACTGACGCGAGGCAGTTGAAGACTACGACTCCATGGAGAAGAGTGAAGACACGTGGGAGTTTACGACGAAGCAGTTGAGGAAGCAGTTCCGCGGAGTGTGAAAACTACGCAATTGATTTCAAATAAAATCACCGGAGCAAGGAGAGAGAGAAGGACAACCAAAAAATCAACACAGAACAACTCTGTCAAACTTTACCTTTTTTCTCTGTAACTCCTTCGCGGAGCTCTCCTTCCAGGAAGGATCTCCATAGTTGTAGTCTTAGTCGTAGTCGCGGAGCTCTCCACAGGAATCTCCATAGGAGTAGCGGTAGCGTAGATTCCTCAAAACTCAAACACCCTCGTTCGAACGTAGTTTGGAGAGGTGCGAACCGTAGTAACGGTCGTTCTTGGTTAGAAGTCAGAGGTGCATCGATCAAATCAACACCGCCCGACGGTGGATATTTGACGGTCACGTTGATTTCATCATTTAGAGGTGCATCGATCAAATCAACGGCGCCGACATTCGGCGGCGGATATTTGACGGTCGTCTCGATTTCAGCTATCAGCGGTGCATTCGATCAACGGCACCGCAAGAGGTTCCATCGCGAGACATCAAATCAACATCGCCGGAAACGAATTCGGCACCGGCGGTGGCATTTGGTTTTTCCGAGGAAACAATTTGGCACGTCCGGTGGGATCCGTGTGTTTGATATGGCTCTGCGACGAGGAAAAGAAGATGGTGGTCTTCCACAACGATCCGGGAAGGAGGATCAGATGGTCAACATCGAGATTGACGACGTTGTAGGCGATTCAATCAACAATGATGGAGCGGAGGTGCAATCAGTGGTGCAAATCGCCAATCAGGGTGAGATGCAGCGCATGCTCCGCCAAGTAGTGGCTAAACTCAGCAGAGATAGCCAACAGGTAAATCTCATTTTAACTTCTCTTGATAAAAAAATTGATAATCTTGAAAAAAACATAGATCAATGGTTTGATAAGTTGGACGACTCTGTTTCTGATTTTACTATGTCAATACGTGGAGCCACGTATGATTTTGATGTGTTTAAATCTCGAACCATGTCTGTTGTGTGTGAGGATGCGATGGTTGGTCGAATAGCTAATGTCAACCAAAATCCATCATCGATGGCTACAACATTGTTGCCAGAAGTGAGTGAATCCAATGTGTTCTTTCCTGTGAACAACGTTGTTCTTAAGGACCCACCAGTTGGAATTGGCTTGAAGAAGCCACTACAAAGAAGTCAATATCGGCTTACTTCTAGTAAGATTGAAAACAAGAACCAGGGCCGAGAACCTGGTTACAATCACGTTGAGCATAGCAAGTTCGCGTATGATGGGTTGTCCAAGCAACATCGCAGTGGGGTTCAATCCAAACCGCTAGGTGGGCATGAGATCCCACTGCATGGAAGATTGAAGGAGAAACAACATCGTGGGTGGCAAAGAAATTCGCCACACCCACCCTGCTCTAGGAAAATTCAAACAAGGGTTGCCACAAACACTTTTCAGTGTGGAGGTGGTGACCACGTGAAAAACCCCAAGGCCACGAAAGTTGGTGTAACTTACCTAGCTCCTTCATGTAAGTTTTTCCCAAAGCTGCCGCCGAGTGTGGTGGGGGGCAAGTTCAATCAAGCTCGACATGGAGTTGCCACGCCAATGCTGGCTAGGAATAATTTTTCCATGATGTTGGGGCAGGGGGGCAAGCCCAATGCCCGACAAATTCCAAAATCAGGTAGGAGATTAGAAGATACAAAGGTGTGTGATAGATGCAAATATCACGATCAAGGTAAGCATAGCACTCACACACGTGTTGATGAAACCCGTAAACACTTCCAACAATATGGTGAGGGTGCAAAGATGACAACACCAAACCAGCATGGCCAAGCGATGCCGCATGGTCGAATTGGCAAGACAAAGGTGCTAAAAAACGCGAATGTGCTACCTAGAGCCAAGAATGCTTATGGTTTTCCATTCCGCGAAGCTAAGATTAGGCCAAATCAGGATCATGGAGTTTCGAACAAAGATGTTCAAGCTAGACGCGTTGAAAGGTTGCAATCCAATATTGACTTTGAAACATCGAAGTCAACACGTATAGAGCCAACTCTGATTGGTCATGGACTTTACGGATGGCTTGCTTGGTTTGATCTCTGGAGTTGGCAGTGGGTGTGGACTTTTGGCAGGATGGTTTATGCCAAAGCCAACCCTGTTTTTGTTTAGCTATTATTATATAAATAATGTGGCTAGATTAGGCCACGTAATATGTTATAAAAAAGGAGAAAATAAAAAATATTATAAAAAATTATTCAAGCAACACTGTTAAGAAGAAGCAACAACGTTGTTGGCAATGGTTTAAGATGGCCAACGGTGTTGTTTTCTCTTTTCTCAA